CCGGGGGGAGACTGTTAACTGTACCGTCGAGTTGGTCACTCTATCCCAACCGGTTCCACCGCTTGACTGATAAGCCGTCGCTATTGATAAGATGTCATGGGTGGGATTTTGTAAATCAAAACAAATGGACAATAGATGAACAAACACTTGTCGAGCCACATGAGATGGACGTTGATATTGAAAGTTTATTTAATTTGTTATTCTAGAGTGCTATTCTATTAATTCTACTAATTAGTGTCTAAAATTTAGTGTCTTATCTTACTAAGAACTAGTGAAGGTAAGAAAGGCTATTGAATTAAAACTAGAACTAGAATATAAATATAATGCAAATCTTACGAACTACGTAGGACCTATAAACCTAACCTGAAGTTGGACAGTGAAAGTGAAAGGCCGATAGAATTGCAAGGGCCACTGAAATGTAAGTGATTATCCTAATGTTAAAACTAATCATAAACTAAACTAAACCTACTGTTGCAGTTTGAAGCGTGAATAAATCTAGCTACAGAAGTCGGTGCCTTGGCTTTCATTTATAGCTGTCGCAACACATAGTTTGCTATCTCTTTTTAATCTTCATCGATGGCAGACGCGAAGGAACTGCTGCAAGCCGTTATGGAAGTTTCGGTTGCATTCGGGTGTAAAGCAAGAATCATTAAACTCAATCTCACCCGAGGGGGGCGACACATCTAAATCTCAAGTTTAGATGCTCAACAAATCTCACACTAGCGAATCAATCTTCGAAAAATCTTCTTTCATTTGTCGCATCTACTTGCATCGCGCATCATCTTTTTGCAGGAGATCTTCAGAATCGTCATCAATCTTCTTTCTATCTACTCAGCGTGCGCGCAGCTACCAACAGCAAAACACAATCTTTTCTGCATCGTAGATAGAGTCGTCCCCCTCGATCTCACCACAGTTTGGTGAGATTTGCAGTTGGTGAGTTTTGTTAGCTTGATATTTCAGCTTGCAAAATAAACCGCAGTTGTTTGCTTGTTGATTTTTGTCTACGAAAATCAAGCGTGATCTTGGGCGTTGGTGAGATTTGATTTTTTGATATTTTCCCAACACTGGTTTCATGGCAGGGCGGTCGACTACTTCCAACCTTCTGTGTCTCACCTCACCTCACCACATTACGGAGAGTATGACAGACCATATGCAAACAGATGTCATCTACACTGACCTATCAGCCGCCTTCGACAAGTTTAAGCATCCTATAGCGATCGCCAAACAGGAGAGGCTCGGTATAAACGGCAGTCTCCTACGATGGTTCGCATCCTATCTATCTAATCGACAGTTGGGAGCTGCCGATCTCCTTCGTTCCCCCTGCCACTTCGAGTATTTCGCAAGGTAGCCACCTCGGTCCGTTGATATTTCTTGTGTATTTCAACGACGTCAATTTTGTCCTCGACGGTCCACGATTGTCATTCGCAGATGACATGAAAATCTCCGAATCCGAGCCATCGCTAACAGTAACCTTCTCCACTTCTCACGGAAGAAACATCCAATTACATTCAGTTATATAGAAGGCGGTGACGTTCATCGTGTGTATCAGATTAAGGATCTAGGAGTCATCTTAGATTGTCAACTCACATACAGCCAGCATATCTCGTACGTGATCGACAAGGCATCAAGAACGCTCGGCTTCATTTTCAGGATAGCTAAAAGTTTCACGTACATCTACTGTTTGAAGTCGCTCTCTCGTCCGGTCGGTGTTGGAATACTGCTGCCCTGTATGGAATCCCAATTACCAAAACAGTGTACAAAGAGTAGAGTCTATTCAATGACGATTCATCTGGTTTGCCTTTCGACGATTGCCTTGGAGGGATCCTCATCGCCTTCCAAGCTACGAAAGTCGGTGCCAGTTAATTCACCTGGATCCTTTGTGGAGTCGAAGAGATACGACAAGGGCCCTGTTTGTGGCAGACATTCTACAGGGCAGAATCGATTGTCCTTCTATGCTACAACAAATCGACGTTAAAGTTCAACCACGAACACTCCGTAACAACGCAATGCTGAGGATACCTTTTCGTCGTACAAATTACATATAGTTCGTATGGTGCTATCAATGGGCTACAAAGGGTTTTCAATCGTGTTGCTTCCTTATTTGATTTTCACTTGGCACGCGAGACGCTGCGTCAGAGCTTCCGTGGTAGATTTTCATGTCGTCTGCGAACGACAGTCGTGGACCGTCGAGGACGAAATTGATGTCGTTGAAATACACAAGAAATATCAACGGGCCGAGGTGGCTACCTTGCGGAATACCCGAAGTGGCAGTGAACGAAGGAGATCGGCAGTCGTCGATTGCAGCTTCCAACTGACGATCAGATAGATAAGATGCGAACCATCGTAGGAGACTGCCGTTTATACCGAGATAACCAGTTTTGCGATAGGATGGTTCAACTAGTTGAAGTTGGCTGATATGTCAGTGTAGATGACATCTGTTTGCATATGGTCTGTCATACTCTCCGTAATGTGGTGAGGTGAGGTGAGACACAGAAGGTTGGAAGTAGTCGACCGCCCTGTCATGAAACCATGCTGGTCTTCGCTCAAGTGCTGCTTGAAGTGAGAGACTAATGGTTCCATAACGACCAACTCGAACAGTTTAGATATGGCACACAACGATGTGATGCCACGATAGTTGTCGATGTTTCTTTTGCATCCCTTCTTATGCACTGGAAACATCCCAGCTGATTTCCAGCACGAAGGAAACACCCCACTGGAGAGGGACATTTCGAACAGAAGGCAAAGAGAGGAGCCACCAGGCTATCGATGTGTTGCTTGAGAAAGACGGAAGGAACTCCGTCAGGTCCAGGCTTAAATGAAGACTTCAAATGCGAAGCCGCCCTAGTTATCATAGCGAGGTCGATGTTGATAGCTGCCAAAGATTGACCAGACATTGGAACATTACTGGCTGCTAGAGAAACGTGCTCGTCAGGTAGGTTTTCATCCGAGAATACACTCGCAAACTTGGTTGAGAACAGACGGTAAATGTCCTGAGGGGATGAAGCTTACCATAGTGGATGGAAGGCCAGACTCCTTTCGTTGCTGCTCATTCACATAATTCCAAAAAAGTTTTCGGATGAGATCGAAGCTTCCGTTGAACATCTCGTTGATAACGCCGATAACATTGGCGACTGGTTCATTGATACGCATGATTGATCCTCGCATAATGGTCCATGAGTTGTAGGGTGTGGTACTTGGTGTATTTTCTTAGCGCGGCTCTTTTGGAAGACTTTAACATACGGAGTTCACTTGTTTGCCAAGGATAATGATTACCTTGGTTAGGAACTTTTTCTCGGAACGTGTCGCTCAATGACGTAAGCCAAAATATGCGAGAGCATTTGGGCAGCTGCATTGACATCGGCAGGGAAGAGTATCCTGTGCCAGTCCAAATTCGAAAGAAGTTCCCCGATACTGTCGTGGTCAGCATTTCGGAAATCGTAATGACCTCAGGAATTTGGTTGCCTTCAAGAGCAATAACTAAAGGAGAATGGTGTGGAACAGTCTTTATCAACGGAGAAACAGCCATAGACAAATGCGAAGCAGTATTCTGAGCGGTGACGAAGCAAAGGTCTAAGCTACGATTGTTCTCATTAACCACGTGGTTGATTTGCTTCAGGGTGGCGATACTGTAATGATCCAAAAGGCTTACAGCTCCAGAGTGGAATGTAGAACGGTCGTGGTTCGGATACAGGAATCCACCGTAAGATGATCGCCAAGAAATTGCCGATAGATTGAAGTCGCCAATGATTATCATCTCGTCGGCAGCTGTAGCGATCTCCATTATAGCTCGAATAGACTGACTGTGGGATTCAATTAGCGTAGAGTCGCGAGTTCGATCCGGAAGAAAGTAATCTACACACAAAAACAAAGTGCGACCGCTCGTGTTGCTGCCTGGCTGTTTTGTATCGCTCTGGACGATGGTTTTGAAAAAAAAATGTGCATTTGCCACCACTGGTCCAGTGAAATAAATGAAGTTGCAGACATTTTAATTTCACAACATTAAACATTTCGCATAGGGTTGGTGTACCAGTTATGACCCTTACGTTCCTATTACGGTGTTCCAATTATGACCTATGAGATTCCCATATGCCATAATTGGAACACACCATAATAGGAACGTATAGCAATAACTGGTACATCTACCCTAAGCGATTGCGAGTATTCACAAAGTATCTCCTTAAATTCTTCGGAATTCCCTGTAAATCCCACGAAATGCTCTTCAGAATCTCCTAGTATTTATTCTTTGATTTATTTTAAAATTATTACAGCAATAGCTTTGAAACTCTCCTAACTAATCCTTTGAGATTTACCTCAAAAAATTGTTGTAAATTTCCTTGAAACCTAGGAATTCCCTTGGAATACTTATTAGATTTTTTAACCTCAAAATTTTCATTGAATTTTTTCAAGAATTAATTTTGGACTCTCCTTCTTTTCTTGGAATTCCACTCACAGTTGCCTTGGAGTTCTCCATAGAAATCTCTTGGAATTTTCTTTGAAATCCTCCTCTGTCCTCAGAATTCTCTTGTGATTATACTCAGACCTACATTGGAATTTGACTTACGTATCACCGTATCGAATTACGTTTCGACTGGAGTTCAACAAAACTAACTTGAAAGGGATCCTAAGAATTCAGATCAAGTTTTCGTTGCTTTGAAATCCCTAGAACCAATCGCATAATTCGTCCTTTGATGTTTTCCTCTGAATTTCTTTGAAATTATTCCCAAAGATCATTGAAAATTCTCATCAAATTTATTCATTAAAGTCCGTAAGCTTTAAAACTTTTGCAATGCCCTTAATTTATTTGAAATCTAGGTTCATGGAATTTATTCTATCTCCGTATTAGGTAGTTATTTTGGGAAAGGGAACTTGCAACACGTTTGCGTTCACGATTGGGGCACAATATTTTCTTCAAGGGTTATTTAAACTCCTGAACTTTCGCCGAAAGTTCCTTAATAATCAACGCCATCGTATATCACCCATGGAAATTTCGGAACAATCATACTACCCCGTCCATACCGTGCATACTTCCAATCACATTGCGCGTCTATATTCGATAAATTCCATGGCCACGTGTGACCAGACATTACATGACTGAACAAAAACTACTACAAACTAAAATCCGAGCGACTTAAACATAAACTTACTTGAATTGCTGCACTAACGCACATACCGCGCCGCGGAACTCGTCTACGTGGCCAAGCTCTGCAGATCCAGCTTCCTAATGATATCCTTCGCCTTGTTCAGCGCATGACCATGGGTGCTGGACTTGGCCATCTCATGCAGCTCGGTCATGTACTTGTCGATATTGTCCACCGTGGCACCCTCTTTGTCCGAACCAATTGGCAATCCTGCCAGCGCACCGGCCAGAACCGATTTCAACTTTAGCAGATAGCTTTGCAGCACTGCATTCCTCGTCTTCAGACTGTTGGTCTCATTCTCCAGCTTCTGGATGCCATTATCCATATTCTCAACGTGCTTCTCCAGGACGGAATTCTGCTGTTCGTAGTCGATGTTGGACTTGCGGAGCATTCTCAACTCCGAATCGATGACCTTGTTGTGCTCCAGGAAGTCATCGGTAAAGATCGGTATCTCGTAGTCCCCGACTCGGATCTCTCGCTGCCGTTCCTCTTTCCCATTGAGGTAGGGAACTTCCTTACCGAGCTCCGGATCATCTCCATTAGCTTTCGGTTTCTTGCTGGCCAATAATGCTTTCTCGTTATTCTGCTTGTATTTCACCACTTCCCGGTGGTAGCGCTCCCGGTCGGCATCAGCTGCTTCCAGGAACGGTTTCTTCACTTCGTCCGAAAGGGTACCCCACTCTTCGGCAAGCAGTTTCGTTATTTCAACCGCCGTCAGGGTGGGATTTTTCAGTCTGATGGCGTCACGCTTCTCATTCATGTAGCGAACGTACCCTGCGAGAAAATTTTCGTTTTAAACTGAAGATCCAAAGGTATCTAAAAGTCGAAGACCCCTGCCCTTACCTGTGAGTGGATGTTTCGGTGCATTGGCGTCCTTGACACGCTTACGTTTACGCTTGACGACCGGCTTCGATGGTGCCGGAGCTGGTTGCGACGGCGATGATTGCTGCTGCTGCTGCTGCTGAGGTGCTTTACCTTTGTCCTTGCCGTTGCCGTTTTTCGCTGATTTTGCGGCTACCGGAGCGGTGTTTTCGCTGTCCGATTGTTTATCCATTCGGTGGCAGTGGATTAGCGCTGGATTAAACACAATTTTTCAATTTATTTCGTGTTTTGTTTGCAAAAAACGGCAGAAACAATACTAGATTTGGCAAGGATCACTTGCGATTCGCTTCCATCTAGCATCGGTCGGTAGCCGATTTTGTTTTCGGATTCGGATTTGCTACCAAAAACATTTTCTTGGTGTTAGTGACTGTGTAGAGTTTTTGTGTAGACTCCAATGAGCGCGCAACAAATATGCACTGATCGAAACCGTTCCTTGAATGCATGTTTAATTATAATATAAATTGTGAAATCAACCCCACGGAGAAGAATGAGTCTAGTTTGAATCAACTAAAAATATGGTTGAAGTTCAAACTAATATTCTTGTTGAATCAAAGTCAATATTTGTTTGTTGCAAACCAGTGAGTTAATTTGAAATAAACGACTTTATCACCTGGTTTCTACCCATATAATCGTATTGTCTCAACAGAAATTTTGGTTGATTCAAACTAAGGGTATAGTTATTTTCAAACAAACAGATTTGTTTAAACCAAAACTTAGGTTGTTAGATACGTATTATTCTTAACTGTTATTTTAGTTTGAATCAACGTAGATGTTAGGTATAAACAAACCAAATTTTAGGTTGGGTAAATACCAACTTAAGAGATATTTTGAAACGAACCAACATATTAGTTGGTCACTTCTGATGTCATCGGTCGTTTTTTATCTTCAATTTGTTTTGCTTGAAATTGTTTGTTTGCTGGCTGCATCTAAATCGTTTTCAATCGCAAGTTGCATTTACACACGGTAATGTGTTTAAATTTCAGTGAAATAAGTGAATACTCGCCTAAATAATCATTGATTTCAATTAATTCAATATTGATAAAACATCCGTTATATTTTTAAAAAGTTTTACTATACAAAAGAGGATCAATGTTCAGTATCTTCTTAAAGGAAACAATTAGTATTTTCGAAATAATAGAAATTTTTCTAAGCAACGATAGTGAATTGTTGATCCTATGTGAGAAGTTTTAGGTTATTGAGTTTAACGAACATTATCAATCCTATGAAATGCATACAAAAACTATAACTACGTTGGTGAACAACATAGAGTCCTGTGATTCTGAGCTTATAAATTTGCATAATGTAAATGGCACTACATATTTATGAAAATATAACTGTTACAGAACTTAAAAGAGAAACAGAAATGTATAAGATAAAAACATTATTGTATTTGCCAAGGAATATATCATGTCTAATTAATAAAATAAATCCCAGTAAAATCTTCGAAATCTGTACAAGATTTGAACTGGTGGTGAACGCACAACTGTCCATGATCTATGGAATACGACTGTTTTGCTTCCATTGGCAGTCTAGATATATGAAAGAAAACATTAAAATACAGCAGGGGCAATAAAAAAAACATTTAATTCTGACAAATTTGTTGGTTGTATCAAACGAGATCGTTGGTTACTTCTAGCATTTCGTTGTTTATTTCAACCAACGAGTTAGTTGGCATTGAACTAAACTTTGTTTGGAATAAACTATATGATTTGTTTGAATTTACCTAGGTTTTATCAGTTGTCAAAATCAAACAACCAACATTATGGTTATTTAAAACAAATGTTTGTTCAATTTAGGTTGGAAACAAAAACAATAAACAACCTCACATTTTAGTTTATTTCAAACATCAAAGTTTGTCAGGGTAAACTAAAAATATGTTTGTGCAATTTTCAACATGGAAATTTGGTTGAAGCAACCTAAAATATGGTTGTTTTTACCATACTTTTCTCTCCGTGCCTAATAAAAATTGTATGGTTAATTTGCTTAACGACGTGTTCTGGGTATCATCCAAACCATTTGTGGAATAGTTCAATGATTTGGGTTATCGCTCGTCTATGGTTATTTTTTATTAGGGAAGGTAGGTTGTGAAGTTGTGATTTCAAATGCCGTACACTCATAGCAAAGAAGCTCATAGTTGGTACATATTGGGGTGTTTACATATAAGCTGGTACACTAACACAAACAGCTCAGCCAACTAGCACGAACTTCATTTGTTCCTGAAATCTCATGCTGACCAGTGCTGCAGAATCTCGACAGTACACGGTGATATTGACAATTCTGCTTTGGTCACTCATTTGAGATAACAGTCATACACGGAGAACAAATTACAGCAGACACAATTATTTTTCCGGTCAAAATAACTATATTGTTCAATTGTTTTAGAGATAACCCGAAACTATAGTTGATTTGATTATATATAGAGGGCAACAACTAAAGTCCATAGTTGGCTCCTCGGTTAGCTCAACTATGTTTTTCAGTAGATGAACAAACATCAAACTTCAAAATACAACTATGCTTTAGTTGATTCAAGAAAACTATTGTTAGGAAAGCAAAATTTTACAATGTTTATTAAACAAACTGCTCTTCATTATTGACATATTAAGGAAGTTTGTGTTGCTTCTTTATCGACCTCAAAAACATAAATGCAAAATCATAAAAAAGTGAACAAGAAGATTCAACTTAGATTTGAACCGTGTTCATCTGCGTGAGAGCCAGCTATCTTATCGCCTATTCTACGCATCACAAGTTAAAGGTATGTGGATTTATGATGATCACTTGAAATCAAATTAAATAAATAAATTACATTTGACGGTTGTTATAATTCATCAAAATTATAGTTGAATTGAGTATAAGATGAACAGTTGAATCTATTAGGTAGATATGATTGAGTTGACGGTCAAATTCATGTTCGAATAACTATAGGTTTCTTTCAAACAACAATGTTTTTCCATGTGAAAGTAACTATTAGGATTGCTATCTTAACTTAACGAATTTGTTCTCCGTGTAGTCAAGGCAAACCATGTCAATTGTCAATGACAATGGTGTCAGTGACGAACATGTGCAGATTTGTTTATTAGCTAAGTTTGTAACGAAATTAAATGACTTGAGCAAAACAATAACATGGATCCATTTAAGTGAACAAGTATCTACGTCCTGAGCTACTTGGATAACAATAATGTGACCTGGTGAATCTTTGTCATTGACGAAAAAATGAATGAGATTTTGACGAAGGTTGTTTTGATGATCAAGTCTGTCAGTGACTATGTGACGAACAATTTTGTCAATATCGCGCGAAAGTCTGTCAATGACAATGACAAATCTCAGCACTGGCTGACACCATAGAGGTAACTCTAAGACCAGAAGGTCCCGAAGAAACGAGCTCAACTTTTTGGCTCAGCTCTGGTACTATCTTCGGTCCCAAGCTAATCGATGCACCCCTCGAAACATTGGAAAATCACGAACCCCTCATTTTATCTGTCAAACTTTCATAGTGAACCAAAACAAACATAGTGTAGTACTGGAATTTATACAAGAATGGGGTACGTTAATCGATTTGCTTGGGACCAATAGGCTAGTCAAGTAATGAACCGATTTATAATCGTTGGTTTCGAATTGATTGTTGCTGACACCCTGTTTACATTATGCTGGCTACTTTTTAGTAGAAGTTTAGGATAGTAGCGCTAGCAAATCAGCAAAGATGTAAACACCACATATGGGCTCTTTGCACATTTCACTAGCTCAACCAACTAAAACGATTTTAATTGCTCATCTCATGCTGGTAGATGCCGACGCCGAGAATGAAAGCTCTGAGTAAAGTCTATGCACGAAACGAAAATCAATTATTTAATTCATGTGTTTCACTTATACATTCTTGCCAAAGCATCAGCCTTATACATTCCATAAGACAAACCACATAGGTCCTATTAGAATGCATAAAAGGTATGTGTGACCGCTTATACATTTCATTTGACACATGATCTTTATTAACTTTTTGCAAGGCGTCTGCTTATTAATTGACTTATACATTTTATGAATAATCAGCAATGGAAATTTGCCAAAAGGTATAAGGAGATTTCTATCCGTGTGGGTTCGAAAAAAATATCGTTCTGCTCAGAAAACGAAGTTCTTTTAGATGATGCATAAAAATCGATCAATTTTCCAAAATTATAGAACACAATCGCAAATTTTACCATTGGAATTAAAACCACAGACAAACAGACATAACACATTGAATATTTCTCAATGTAAAACATCGTCGCAAAAACATTACCGCCATCTGTTGAGTACACTGTGGTGGGTAGTACGCTTAACAGATGGCGGTACTGTGTAAACGTCAAACTCAAGGAAAAGGACTATGCGCGCCGCAGGTGGCGGTACTACCAACTACGATACTTTTAAATTGACCGTTAAATGCTGGTTCGATGAACAACTTGCGAGTGCTATGTCTGTTTGTCTGTGTTAAAACTATTGCCACCGAGCTTTCATCTCGATTTTCAAATAAAGATTCAATGCAAAATAGTAACTTCACTATTTAACACTAAACTAACAAATTGACAGCTCGTTCCCATACAAATTTCCACCGAGGGGCGCTAAGTTGGTGATTTTAGCTAACATAATCGTAAAATAGATCCAGAGTACCAAAATTGCAGATTACGAATATGCAATTACCTCAATAACCCTAAAAAAAAACCAATTAATTGGTAGGCTATGACTCGGGCTATGATTGAGTTGCTGCTGGTGAGAACTAGGAATTACAATCAGAAACCAGAAACCACAAACGAAGTGACAGAGGAACGGCTCGAAACTTTTAGTGACGAACCTGCTATTGTAATTTTTCAGTGTACCACATGGCAACACTACTACATGCTACTCCCATAGAGGTTTACTCTAAAACCAGAATGTCCCGAAAAATCCAGTGTGAGCGAATTTAAAATAGAAAATTTCCACCGGTTGCTAAAGGTTCAAAAATTTTATTGAACCCAACCTTTTTCACAGTACTAGAAAGGGCATATATTACCGGAAAGACAGTTTTGGGAGATGAATTCCATCGATCTGGGAAGTTTTGTATTTTGTAACATATATTTGAAACTTTGTTCTTGCCAGCTCTGGAACTGAAAGCATTACCCAATTCTACATCATCCTGATACAGAGATAGTCGTATTGCATTGGGATAAGCTTTAAAGTAGTCACTTTTTTCGTAACTTAATCCGGTTCTGTAAGAGACATATTCTTTTACGTCAGGTTTTCCTTGCTCAAGATGTTCATTAAGTAGAAGATCGCGGTTCCGAGGATTTCGGAAGATTAGCTTCAGTGCGAGCTTCAGTGTATCGATTATGGGTAAATAGGCAAATGTTTCATTTACACGAACTGTTTCGTCAATTCCATCTGTATGATGAACAGCATCTCGGTAGCCTACACATTTCATCACCGGCTCGGGATAGCTTCCTGTTAATGTTTTCAGAAACCTTTGTTGGCATGAAAAGGACTTAACATTTTCAAATAAATCGAGTGATTTAAATGTACTCAAAACATTAATAGCTGATTCGGAGGTCACATCAATGTTGTTTTCTTTTAAATATTCAACAATCTTTTCCTCCAGATACGAGGAAACTTGGCTTATCATGTTCTGGCATATGCTTACAGTTTCCGCAATTTTATTGTGTGGAATACCAACATTAGCTGTGAGCCGACAAATGCTCATAGCTGCCACTTTTTTAATGTCTTCCAATGTTATAGATCTGGACGTAGCATTTGCTTCAGGGAATTGCTCACTACTTTGTGATGTGAAACACGAAGCTTCACCTGGAGTCCATGCTTCTTCAAGCTCTGAACTCGGTGGATGCTTTTCCTTGATGTGCCTCTTCAGGGAACGCAAATGCTGATAGCGCATTTGGCATCTTGGGTATGTACAATCATAAAACGCGAAATTTTCTTCTAAATGGCCCTTTTCAATGTGCCAATTAACATGGCGCCCGAGCCCCTCTATATAGCCCGGAATCGGCCGACCGCAGAAAAAACAAATGATGGGATCTTCATGCATCTGAAGATCCATCTACAAAGTACAATGAAAAAAACAAATGTATTTTAATTTTACTTACGGAAAAGATCTCTTGCTCCTCCATCAAGAGCTCCAATTTGTTTTAATATGTCTTCCATTTTTTAACACTTACTTTAACTGCGCACTTTAACTACGCAGAACTGCACAATATTCAATTTTAAAATGGCGGAAAAATGTTGAGTTTGGCAGTATAGACAATTTACAAACCGTTCGGTAATTTTTATTATTATTATTATTTTATCTCTTTATTAAGGAGACTTTCAGCCGTTGGCTGGCTCGTCTCCGAAGGGTAATTTTTACAGTCTGGTTTGTAAAAGACTTTTTTTTACAGTACATTCGTCAATTTTTGACAGTATTGCGGGATTTCAGGCATTTACAGTTTCGATCAGTAATGTTTATATACAGTTTTCGGTAATTTTCTGCAAATTACAGAAATCCAGTTTTTTTATTACTGGAAAGTGGTAAAACATCAAATTTTACCAAACATTCGGTAAAAATGACATTTTACAGACCAAATTCAGCAAAAAAAAGTACCGAACAAAATTTAAGAATTTTGGTGTGTACTAGAAATACTCAGAAGGAGAGACGGGTGGAGAAAACAAAATACAATTCGGCCGCAGGGATTTGTATCCAAATTAATCATTTTTTCAAGCTTCTGCATTCATGTTCCATCAGATGTCACTGCTGTTGGTTGCGGTGGCATTGATCGGAAACTACACACAATCTGTTTTCCTATAATTTTTCACAGAGGACACTACAGTGCAAAACATGTCTGGTACCTCTATATATGCATTTAGATTATTATTCGAAGTCCCTCCTTTTTTACACATTCTGCACACAAAATAGCTCGCCTCTAACAGAATTTCCCGCCGACTCACGCAACGCAAACCAACAGCATAATCAGATAGGGGCAACTATCACCTTCCCGAAAGTGGTATTGGTTTGCGTGGGCGTACTTTGGTTAGCGTGTAAAGGGCCTTTGAAATTTTGTTTACAAATGCTTTTGTGCCGTTATCAAATGTTATGCCTGCCATCTATATTTTTTAATTCTATCAATTTTGTTCTTAATGAGTTCACTAATAAAATTTGTATGGTTATTTTGCTTAACGACGTGTTCTGCGTATCATTCGAACCATTTGTGGAATAGTTCTATCATTTGGGTTATTGTTCGGGTTTGGTATTTTTTCATTAGGGTTATGCTTGAATTTATGCCACTTTTCTTCAAAATGGGTTAAATTTTACTCATTAATGCGAACTTTCAACTTAACGTATTACAGATGACAAAACCGTCCAACATTTGCAACACAGCCGGTGCATCTTCTCTACACAAAAGTATTGACACTTAGTGCACTTCGAAGCTGTCATCGCATTCGCGAGGATGACACTAGCTGCAGCACCAGTCAAAACGAATGTATTCGCGTGAAAACTCGGGAGGTGCACGGTTGCATCACACATCGAATCGCTCTTTTAGCCTCGATTCGAAATCCAAACACTTTTTGTCCAGTGGCCGTGTTCCAAAAGTGCTTTTAACTCCATTCGGAACGGCAAAACAGTGAATGTTATTGATCCGCTCCAGGTAATCAGCGAAAGCTCACCTTTTCGGTCGGTTCGCGAATTATGCGCATTTTCTCCGCGGTTCCGTTTGCTCAAGTGTTTGTCGTGCGGTGGTGGTAGGTAATAGAAAATGAAATTTTTTTCGAACGTACTAGTGCTACGGAAGGTTAATCGATATCTGCGGAAAAATGTCCGGGATCAGTCGCCGAGCATCCTCCGCCTGTGGGCAACCCAGTGCGAGTTTCACTTTGCGCAGCAGCTTCGCCGGAGTCAGCAGATTCTGGCCCTGTACGCCAAGATCTGGGAGGAACGAGCCTTGAGAGAACTGCTGAGACGATTCCGCGGACAGGTGCGTACAGGGATTTCATTCGAAGGAATTATAAAGGGGCATGACGGCATTTACATAACACCCGTTGTCGTCGTCGGCGTCTGGTTTCTTTATTTGGGAGTCGCTTGCGATCATTGTTATCACTTTCGTTCCGATTGCCCTCACCGAAGGCCGACGAGACGACGGCTACGGTGCAAGCGAAAGTGCTGATTGTATTTTATTCACTTGGGAAGGATATTTTTAGCACGTAAATATTATTCGCCTTGCTTTGCACGGAGATAGGTTTAAGTCGTAAACAATGAGCAATTTAGCAAATTAAAATAAAACGTAATTTTTTTCTTCTCACTTCCACACCAGGCTCAACGTCATGCCAAAGGGTTCCTGCTGTCGTCTACGGCCTTGCTTGCCTTCGACTGGGATCGGGAACGAATCGAGTTCGAAGACGTGAAGGAATACTTTGACGATTTCAATTTCCTCGATCGGTTGCAGAAAGAAACCATCTTCTGTCCCCGGTGCCAGAAGCGGAAACAAATCGACTGCCGAGTGGAGGGAGTGCGGTACTGTAGCTGTCCTCGGAACGTGACGGATATGTTGTCCAAGGAGCAGAATGAGTTCACCGCCTGGGAACCGTACATCGAGCAGAAGACTATGATCACCTGGCGCAAGGAAGTCAAACCGGGGCTGTACGCTTACAAAGGTAGGGGTTTGTTTAAATTTACTATTTAAAGTCATGGTAATCATGCTATCGACCCGGGATATGCTACATGAGCATGTACTTACAATCGAATAGTTGCTATAACCATTCAACCCCGACGAACATGATTTACCATATGACTGATTAGCGGAGCCCTATACTGGTAGAGTTCTCTTATTAGAATAAAATTTTAACTGGAACAAATCAATCCATGATCGATGTTCAATAGTATGAATTCACACACTATGAACTCAAACGTTCCAACTGCACCGCACCAGTGCATTAATTTGATAAAGAAATCACATTCAATCAAAGTGTTTGTTACTTCCGTGAAGTGTGGCTACACTCTATCCGATGAAAGTGGATTGAGAACAACCCTACGGAGTTTGACAGTTGATAACGCTTCGTCTTAACGCAACTTTTACAGCTACGAAAAAAAATAATTACGTTTTTAGTTTTCTAAAAATATTGGAAAAAGATATCAAAAATCTAAAAAAAAAACATTTTTCTTCTAATCTTTTAAAGAAATTGATTGAAGGGTTTAACGGCTCTTTCAGTCTTTTTACTGCAGCAAAAACGTTGTATTGCTTCAACTCTCCTTTTAAAGAAAATTAACGTGCAAAAATATTTTTTGTAAGTCATCATGGCATAAAGTTGAACTCAAAAAACTCGTCAAAAAACACAAATCATAGACCTTTCTGTATAACATAAAAACACTTTGAATGTAACAACTCAAGGTGGGGTACCCGTCAACAATGCTGATGATGGTACAGCACGCAACAGCCACCCTATTGCTTTCTCTCTGAGATGACCACGTTGGTCATGACGAGAGGAGCAACACAATAGTTGGGTAAAGTAGAGTCGGTGTATAATGAGTCAAGCCAAGAGAAAACGAGTTGAACTCGCATCACGGTTTTCGAAAGATTCCCTTTCTTTTCACTTGGCAACAGAGGACTTCTACATCAACTTCAAATGACTTCTAGCGAGAAAAAAATAGCGGCTGTAGTAAATCATTATATCAGTGATTTTGTCAAATTATCTTATCAAAAAAATAGTAGAAATTCTCATTACTGATAATTACCAAACGTATCCCATGACAATTTAATGCTCACTGCGTGATTATGATCATTTCTTCGATCATATTTATTGCAATACCTTTCGTTGACCTCTCATAGCTTCGTAATGTTTGTTTACTTTGTTTACGATAGGTAGCTGGTTGGACAGTTCAATAGGTAGACTTGGCTTCACTCTTGGCGTGACTCATTATACACCGACTCTAGGGTAAAGAAGAATTGCATTATAACACACCATCGACTAGAAATGCTCTCGCAACGCGGGGCTTTAGGTAGTGATGAAACGTCGCTAGAACTATTCCACAGCCGCACTCAGTTATGAGCAGAAGGAGGACGCACATCTTTTGCCTGTAGATTTGAAGACATACTTCAAATCTCCGCGTACATCGTACAGGTTAGGCAAAAGATGTGCGTTTGACTTTATACTGTCGCATTAATGGCCTTTCGCTCATTTTCAACTTCTATTCAATTTTCATACTGCCGTACTCTAACGGAACTATCCACCTGCCCTCTTCTAAAGATCATTCTCTAGCTAATAAATTATCACACTAAAGCTTCAGCATTTCCAACCAACTCTGAAAATCGCAAACTTCGCATATGAAGTAACATAAAACACTTTGAATATATCTTATAGTCAGTTACTCCTGCTGGCAGGGCTGGTAGCAGGTCACTTTTTAGTGACTTTGTCACTATTTTGAAGTCAGTCACTAAAAAGTCACTTTTCAAACCAAAAAGTCACTAAAGTCACTTTTTCGCAACTAAAATAGAGTGAAACGGAAAAAATATCAACAACATTTTTAAATTGAGTACTTGGCACTAAGGAAGTTATAAAAGAAAGCTGGGATGATTTCTGAGGATACTTCCAAGAAAACTCTAAAGAGTTCGAAATAAGTTCCGAGAAGAATTCCAATGGAATCGGCTTTTGAGGATTCATTCTCAAAGGAACTCTTCGAAGAGTTTCAAGGTTATTCTGAAATGGATTTTTGTTTTGAGAATTCTGAGAAAATACCATGGGAATTCTGAGAAGAATACGAATTGAATTTCCAATATAATTCAGGGGAGAAGTTCAAGATTATTCTAAGCAGAAATTTGATGTTAATTTCATGGAAATTCTAAGGAGAATTCAAGTAAAATTTAAATAGATTTATTGGAAGAACCTTCATGGAAATCCTGGAAGAATAATTAAAAAATCAAATACAATCTACTTTAACTAATTATGATTTATTATCTTATGCATGAAGTTATCGATTTAAATAATTGGAGATGCTTAACGTCAAATATCAGACTTAAAGTGAACATTTTATACGATAGATAAGAAGATGAAAGTATAGAGTTGAGTAGTATTGAGGTAGTGCGAAAATTGTATATAGAAAGTAGAAGTAGAAAGCGAGCAAAGGTCATTTTTTAAGAAGTTACGAATCAGGTATAGCAATCAGGTAGATGCTTACGTCAGATGGCGATTTGAATGTGAAACAATTGATTGAACTGTTTCCGCACATAGGAGGTACATGAGCAAATCGGCGATCATCCCTTTTGCCAGTGTGGCGGAGTCTATTTTTTTGTGAAACGCACAAATGTTGGCTACTTTTTTCGAGGTTCTAGAAGAAAAAATCTCAAAATAATGTTTCATTTCAAAGTTCGAGTGGTAGTAAACGTCATTTTATCTGCTCGAATGAAGTGGTTAATTTTCACACTGCCGTAGTACAACGGAACTATCAACTCTATACTTTATTAAAATGTCCACGTTCAGCATCTCCAACTCCGAAAATAATCTATTTCCAAGAATGTTCTCCATTGTTTTGCAAAGAATTTCCAGAATGAAATATTATTTTTGTTAAACTTGCAAAGTTTAAGAGGAGTGGAATAATTCTAAAAAAGTTCTTGAGATAATTCTGAAATTTTTTTTATTAAATATTCTTAGCGAATTATCAAAGTTATAGGGTAAGTGACCCAATAGTGGGGGAGCTAAGCACAATTAATTCTCATTTCACTAAGTTATGATACAATAAAATGCATAATACTGAAGTGTTTTATCATTTTCCGATAGTGTGAATCTTCTTCTATCATTTAACAGCGTTAACCTACTTAATAAAGTCTTTTGGAGCTTGAAATTAGTTATGACAAGCTGAACGTATTTGTTCCTATAGTTGCGGTAATGTTCCTATATTTGCGTTATATATGGTTCAACCATTTAAAATACCTTTCGTATATGGTACTTGTGTATAAGGGATATGAATGCATTGTATTATCAAACCGCATGGGGTTGATTTGATTCTCAAATGATATATAAATTATACTGGTTGGACAGTTTCACAAATTCATTGGTAACAGGGTTCCATCGTACATGCCATACATTAAATATATATTCATGAATTGGTTGACGAAAGCTCTCACGTAATAATGGAAGAAAATGCCTCAAAGAATACTTTGTTGCGAGCATTAAGGCTTCCCCATACTACTGATTGCTTAACGAAGCTGGGGAAGCTCAACATTCAATTTACAGCAATGCAATGCATATAAAACACACGCAACAGAAGCGCCAAAATGTCAGGAAGAAAGCGATGAGCATAACTAATTCGCAGTTTATATATTTTATTGGATTTAATGAAATGGTGAGATGAAAACCAATAAGTTTTCAGATCAGCGTTTCTATCTATTTCAAAAGAAAGTATGGAACAAATGATTAAAAATACAAACAATGCAGATTATTTACGAGCACATAAGATTCAAGTTTTTAAACACGTTTGTTTTTTCGCGTTTTTTACGCTTCATCGCAGCTGTTTTTACTCGCTTCTCCTGTCGCAAATTTTCACGTTCCTGTTTCCTTATGGCCGATTCCTGACGTCTACGTTCACGTGTTACTGCTTTCAGTTTCTCTCCTTCAGCTTTTTCTTCAGCCTTTTTCTTCCTTTGCTCAAGAGTTACTGCTTTCAGTTTTTCAGTTTCAATTTTTCGTTCAGCACGCTTCTCAGCTTTTTCCTTCCTCTGTTGAACAGTGTTTATCTTCTCATCTTCGATTCGCCGAATCTCGTCTAAGCGTTCACCTGCCGTAAGTACAGGGTAAAATTTGCGCTTGTAATTTCGATGAACACGATTTCTTTTCGGAGTTTCAGGACATTCAAGAAAGGTTTTTTTTTTTTTTTTTTAGTCTTTATTATAGAGATTTTTAGCCTAATTCAAGAAAGGTGGAAATGCTCATCTTCCTTTTCATACCTCGTTGTTCGTTAGAAATATCTACCAAAACGTGTTTCTCTTGTTCAGTAACATGCGTACCTGTGCCAATGCTAGATGATTCTACTGAGCATTCTAAGGCATTGAGGGACGTATTGATAAAAGTAGCAATGTTATCTGTAAATTTTATAATTTTATGCATCAAAATCTTTAATTCATACAACTTTAAATTTACCTGCTATGGCATCAGTTAAATTTATGGTGATATCGTGTGACACAGGAAAGATTTTAACACATTCGCTTAATCCAGTATTGCTTAAATTATCCGTATATAATTCAAGCGCTGTATTCCAGAGGTCGTTGTTTAAAGCTGGTTCTGATTCGCTTATCACTTCCAAAGAGATGCATTCTTGAATCTCATCTGATCTCTTATCGAGAATTGGCAGATTAACTATAAAGTTATGTAAAAAAAAAGATCAATGCTTGTTTTTATGAAAATAAATCACGAGTTACCTGAAAAGTCCTGAATTTGCTCAGTCGTGAGACTTAGATGATTATCGTCAGATTGATCCGAAACAGGCATTGAAGATTGGGTTTCTAAATCAATCGTACCAGCAAGCAATGGTGACGAGTGAAATGGTTTCAACAGTTTTTCATACATGTTCTTGATGACAACCTCATCATCGGTCAAATCATTGTTTCTAACAAACTTTTGCAAACGCTTTTCACCAATGTCCTTCAAGGCGAGTTCAATGATCT